TTCTTGATGTACGCAAGGACGTTCTGCTCTTCGGCGGCACGAGATTGGGTTTTCTTATGATCGTGACCAGCAGTCTGCCAGCCAGCACCATCAGTAGAAGTCGGTTGCTCGGTAGTGCTTTCAGCGGCGGCGGCAGCTGCAGGAGCAGAAGCAGCAGTAGGAGCAGGCTGAGACGGGGCAGGAGCAGGGGAAGGCTGAGACGCGGCAGGAGCAGGAGTAGACTTAGGCGGGGCAACGGGAATAGCAGGGACAACAGGAGCTGAAGCCCCAGATTTGGATGCAATGGTGGCCCAGGTCTTGGGAACAGCCTTTGCTGGGGCAGCGGTCTCCTTTTCCGGCACAGGAGCCTCCTTCTTCACAGGCTCAGCTGGGGTAGGCTGGGGAGTGGCGGGACTTTCCGGCGCCGCAGCTTCAGGCTCGACCGGGGCAGGAGCTTCTTGCGGTGCCTCCGGCTCTTCCGCAGTAGCTCCGTTGATCTGGGCTGGTTCGCCGTTCTCCTGGGCCTGCTCAAGTTTCTCGTCCACCTGAGCGGCAGCAGCTTCGTCAGTAACCTGGGCTTCGGTCACTTCAGGTGCAGCCTCAGCAGCGGCAGGTTCCTCAGCAGCTTCCGCTACCTGCTCCTCAGCCGGGGCCGCGGGAGCGGCGGGGGCTTCAACCGGAGCGACCTCCTCATTTACAATCTCCTCCTCCTCATCGACCAAATACCGGAAGATATCATTGAGAACATAGTAGCCGTTGGGCTGCTCGGCGAGCACGAAAGTCTGCACAAACTTCCGGGACGGTTCGGATTTGTTGGAAATTTCACCAATGACGGAAATCAGGATGTTGTCGAATGAAGCCTGAGAATCAACGTTCAAGACACGAACTTTACAGTCCTGGAAGTCAAGCTGCTTGAATTTCTCGTTGATTGCCTGAGCGAATGGGTAGTCAAGTTAGCAATGTTCTTAGGGCGCAACTAATCCGAGGCGCATCGAACTCACCTTCTGGCCGACTGCGACAGGAACCGACTCTGCCTCGGTACCAAAGACGAGCTGCGACCGCCGGGAGTAGAAGAGGTGCAGCTTCTCTGGGCTACGGCTCATGTTGGTATAGTACTGCTCAACGAAGTACCACCCAACCTCATCCTTGGAAATTCCATTCTTCTGGTCGTTAGGAGGGGCATTGGTGGGGGTAGATGACTGCGCTGGCTGAAAGTTGGACACACTGGTCACAGCAGTATGGGCGTGATTGTAGGAGGCAGGATACGCATGTTGCGCGGGGTAGTTGCCGTTCATAGGAGGCTGGGTCGTGTCGGACATTGTGTGAGGTTCTGCAGTGGGAGACAAGTTGAAGAAAAGGTCTTGGGAGGCCAAAAGTATATGGACAATGGCAGCAAGCTTCTATGCGACGAAGGCGACAATAAGTGAAGAAAGAGGAAGGAATCTAAAATGAGATAACTTTTCCTCTTTGTGGCTCGTCTGTTAATTATGGAATTGCAGGTTAGTAACAAGCAGCTAAATGATGTGTTTCGTGGACAAGAATTTGGCGAAAGGCTAGGGATTGTGATGGATACCCACAATGCTAGATGCAAAGAAAATAATGCAGTAGCTCAGATGCAAGTCAAAGAAGAAGGAGAAAAGAGTACTGCGACGGATACTGTAGGTGATCGTACGTGGTGGTCAAAATGAAGCGGAACGGAGAAGAATCTGTGCGATTTCCAATCAAGTTGGGGATTAGACGTTCAATTGGGAAAAGCGATAAAGAATTTCGAAAGGTAAATAGATTGAAAGCTCAATGGAAGGAAGAACGGAGAAGAGAATCAGGAGTCTGCTGATAGAGGTTTCAAGAAGAAAGAGATTTAAGAAATTCTTGCGGAGAGAAGCTAAATAAGAATGAGTTGTGGGTGGATGGTGAGGATGATGATGCCCCGGGATGGAAGAAGTTGCTTTTTTGCTTGTCTTGTCCAGCTTAGTTGGGGGAGTGCAAATTCGCCCTCTTCAAAGTCAAAGGGAAAAGTGCCGGAGTCTGTTTCACTTCTGACTTCACCGCCTTCCCAATGTGCGCTCCGCCTCCGTCAGCCCTGATGATTATACGTTAGTGCTCACAGAGACATGATAGTATTTAGTATCAAATGAGCCTCACAGACGCTTTAGGCTATATAGGCGCTTATAACTTTATCTTATATATGAGCTCATTCGCTCAATGACAATTCAGTGTTGTGCGCACAGCGAAAGGTCCATTGAAGAACAAACAAAGCGGACGAGAATAATTACAGTGCCATTCAGATATTTCTATTGACAGTCTCAAAGATAGGCGCTCATCAACCATGACATGGATATACAAGCGAGAAGAGAAAAGGTTAGGAGAAAAAAGCAGGAGGCGACGAATCAGCAGAAATCTTAACAAGGAATCAAGAATCACAAACACCAGAGAACGCATCAAACAACTGACTCGGAAAAGAAGGGGGTATGATGGACATGATATGGTAGAGAACAGGTATCACACTCGTTTACAGATTCCGTCATGGAAAAAGGGACAGACGGCCCAAGCGTACAGGGCAGACATATCGAAAGCAACCTTCGGATACAAACGATCGGAGGGGGGATGGAAAGGGAAAGCCATGGCTTTCGGGTGAAGAGCTCAGGCTGCTGTGGTCTCCGAAGCAGCAACCTTCTCATCCAGAACGGGCTTCCGCATGACGGCATCTTGACCAGTCATTCTTCGCCCCAGCGCGCGTTCAACCTTTGCACCAAGGGCCAGCTTGCTAAGGTTGTCGCTTTTCTCTGGTGTAGGGACGAAGCGTTGCTTTAGAAGGGGCTTGTTCTCTAGACGCTCGAGCCCATCGCGCAGGTGGTTGAATTCAGCCAGTCTGGGATCACCACTAGGTAGGCTTCCGATAGTCTGTTCCGATGGTGCAAGTGATGGGCTACCGCTCACGGTCGAAAATCTCTTGGACGTACGATTCTGCGCCAGGTTAGACGATTGTCACGAGGTAATACAACATGGAGAAATAGAAAAACGTAAATGAACTTACAGATTTGGCCATGATAGGTCGCTCCGAGTCCAATGAGGTTTGTCTGGCCATCCTGATGGTATAGTTCTTGGTGGTTTGAACTGCAGGTTGATTGATTAAGGGAGTAGGGTACTAGTGTATTGCACTTCTCGGTCGAAAAGAGAAAGGCTTAGCAAGATCGCGCTATTTTTTTTGAATGCCGTACGAGTCAGTCAATGTAAACTGGAAACGGACGAAATAGATGAGACTTGTCGTGATAAGAGAGAGAGAGGGGGGGGGAAGGAAAAATATATAACTGATTATCATCATTGATAGCGCATAAAGGGACGACAAGACTCCGGTACGGAGGGCTTAATTGATTGAACAAGATAGTAGTGGTAAGGATCTCATACCTTATAATGATCTAAGCACTCAGGTATCCTGCGCGCTGCTCAGTGACAACAGATCTGAACGAGGCGGAGACCTTGATACAGTGGGTTATTGAGGGATGACGATGATCTCGGGGAGTTCGTATGCAGATGAGATACTCTGGCTGGTTATTATTATATTAAACCAGGGAGCAGAGAAATGGCGATGAGAAAGCTACTCCGTAGGACATGCAGGTCAAAAGGACTCAAAAGTCAGAACTCAGGAGAGCCGGGGATGAGTAAAGTGGATGTGCCGGGTGGGTCAAAGGGGCGCAGAGAGAAGTCAACTTAGTCTAGAGTGAAACTACAGCACTAAGGCACTTTCGGAGGTATAAGATCTCTACCAAGGTCGGCATTAGCTTTCTGCATATGATTTTTCAGAAGTCAGATGCAGATCAATGCGCTGCAAAACCTTCCCAAAAAGAAACTCAAAAATCGACGCGATTTGGAAATGGAGGCATCACATCGAGCATGAGGTCAAGGCGCATCCCCTGATGGAAGACTGAATTCTGCACCATTCAATAGAAAATCAGCCCATACGCTGCAGACTACAAATTCCAACGGATTTTTATCTGATATCTGATTTTTTGCGCTCCTTTTTCCACTGTTGAGCGCAAGACGCGATCACCTGTTTCGAAGTCTCGCATCTCTACCTGAATCTCATCCCATCTGTAGGAGGTTGTTTTGCCTGGAAAATCATCAGACTCAGTGAATGGCTCTGAGCTGATCATGACGAAGGAAAAGATATCCAACACCGGATGATTGTGCTCTAGCCATCGTTGTAATGGTGACGGCATAAGAATTGCCCAGGGCGAGGCCATTCGTTAATTAGGTAGTTTAACTCCAAGGTTCTTCTCCACGTGCCACATCCAATTGATAGCCACGCGAGATGACCCGTTGAGATTTCCAATAATCGAGTGTATTAATTTTTATCCGTGATGTCGCATCAGAATTTAATAGAGAAGTATGTCGTAAGAGGTTGAATCTATTACTATTATATATAGACTCCTACAGCCATGATATCATGATGAAAGGCATCTCTACATTACTTCTTTCCCCCTTCGGGTATCGCTTTAAGCCAGTGGATGAGATATCCACATGTAAATACCTATATTCCATATGGTCTGTACTTGCCAGAGTCGATAATGAAGCAAGCTCGATAGAAATGTATGATTACAGTAACCCTGCATTGCAATTTGCCTTTAGTGTCGCAATGCGACCTGGCAATTCGCGTCTGCTCCATTTAGTATATCCAGCAGTGAGACAACATGGCGGGATATGCAACGATTGTAGCGCACCTCTTGAATTGAGATGAAAGTTCCGAGCAAGTACCAGTTTCTGATTATAATCGTCGAGACACTTTCTGTCAAAGTGCCAAGCGGTATCATAGGCGGTCCGTCATAATAACGGCAGTACCCGTGAATCTTGACCCCCTCCGTTCAAATGTGGGAAAAAAACATAGAACGTCATACACATCTGACCCAGCAACCTAGCTCAGGAAAAACCTTGCTAATAAATAAATCACGCCTGGTTATCTACCAACGAAAAGCGGCGCATTCATTGTCGAACTTACTTACATCGTCCCTGCATGATCCACCGGAATGCCGAAACCCAAGGCTTTCTTGAAGGAATCCAAATCAAAGAAGAAAGCGGCGCAGAGGGTAGTTATATTCTTCACCATACGCACCACAACTATGCAACTGCTGATATCCGACAGGCACCAGAGACTGCTGATGAATTTCTAGCGGGTATGTAATCGTGTCGTCCGCCGAGTACAGTCTAGTCCATTCATACTGTGGAATATAACCCTAATTCTTCTGATTTTGTCCAGCCGGAGTCGAACAGGAAGAGGGCGGAGAGAAATGGCGTGCTGGCGATGCTGCCAAATCCTTGCGCTTTTTCATGCGGGCAATCGCAATTTATGACGAAGGCTTGCAGAAACATCCTCAGGCGTTCGACCTGGCCTATAATAAGTATGTCCGAACCTTCTGCTGAGCAGCTACGTCTCTGCCGTCAATATGCCCAACGGGAGAACCTATGTTCTGTTCTGACAGCTCTTAGAGCACGTCTCCAATATGAAATCACCCAGCACCCTAAATTAGCTGCCCAATTACCAGCTCCATTGCTGGATGCCTTGCAGATAGCGTTACGATCGCACAGAGAGGCCCTCAATCTGGAACAGGACAACGCAGATGCACTCTTCAACACCGCGCAAGTGCTCACGAGTCTTGCAGAAGCAGGTACCGACACAAAACACCCATCCGACGAACAGCTCTCGGAAGCAATCAAGCTTCTTCAAGAGGCCATAGAACTTTTCCAACGTTGTCTCGTGCTGCAAGAGATGCGGTACACCGAAATGCAAGAGCAATTGAAGCAGATGGAATCAGGGTATATGGGTCCACCTGAGGAGGAAATGAAGCAGGCTCAAGAGATTATGGATAGTGCAGGCGAATCAGATCCTTCAGAACCGCACGAGCAATGGGCGGCAGTTATTGAGCCGGTGACCAAAAATACTCTCGTTGATACGGCCGTGGCGCAATTGGATACCCTCACTACACTCAGCAACCTGCTGACGTTTAATCCTGGAGTGGGACTTGCTTGGGTTGAAGAGTACTCTTCTGATCTCCTACAGAAGATTCCAGTGTATCTCGAGGGGTCAGAAAGACGATATGAGGCGTCTTTGGCTCGAGCCAAGTTTATATGCGCCTTGAACGAGCTGGTTTATCGCAGCGGAAGGATCGAGGTGGAGACATATCACAGAGAAATCATGCGTGCCTTTGGACCAGATTTGGACATCTCTACCGATCCCGACGGTCTGTGCAGTAAAGCTGATGCGCTTACATCTTTCAACACTGCACTCACTGACCTCCCGCCTTTCCATGACGCTGAGGCTCTTGCGAGATCATTGGACTTGAGATGGCAATCTTTATCAACTGCACTGGACGCATTGACCAAAGCTTCGAAACTCCCTGACGCAAACAACCTGCCGAAGATTCATTTGGCCAGGGGAGATGTAGAGATGCATAGGTGGAGGCTCGGACTGGCTCCATGGGAGTACGCCGTGGCGGAACAAAACTCCTCGACACTACTGCAAAACGCTCAAACGTATTATCGAGGCGCTGCAGCACTAGCAAGAAGAGACGGAGCTATGGAGGAAACAAGAGATGGGACATGCAAAGAGGCGATCGCAGCCGCTCTGGGAGGCCAGAAGGATAAACTGGAACAGCTCAAGGCGGCCGCCCCTAAAGAGCTGACAGCTGTTGCTCAGGACGTGGTGGAGGACGGTCTGTTGGCTCCCGTGGATATGGAGGCTTTGTTGTCGTAACCAATCACAAGCACCCATTCATGAATCAGAGAAGTAAACTTTTGTCACTTGCACAAAGTGTACAGTCACCTGGACATCTGTTCATATCTCTGGCCTGGCCTTGACTTCTTCGTCCATCTTGAATGCCTCCTGGCGAATGTCATTCTCCTTGCTGAAATGCGAGGCTGCAGCCGCAGCACCTTCTACGTCAGCAACAATAGACTCGAGACCCGACAGTAGCCTTTCGATCTCCGCTCTTTGGCCTTGTATATGCTGGGCTAGCTCTGCGTTCTGAGCTTCGGTTGCCTGAATTCTCGCGTTCAGGGATGATTGGGCTTCTTGCAGGTAAGGTGTCAGATGCGCGCGATATAGTTCGTCCGGAGTTAACGTATGCGGACTATATCCAGTATCAAGTGGTTAGCAGACGAGTAGCCCAAGAACAACCCATAAATCAGCATCACGAAAACATACGCTACACGACTTTCGCCTTGACCATTGTCCCTCCTATGCCTTGCCTCCCCGACCAGCCGATCGAGCTCATTCAGATGCCTTACTGCGTCACGTTCACGTATGATATCGTCAAACTCCGCCTTCGCGCTCTCCTCGAGCTTCGCGTTGAGTTGTCTCCATACTGACTCCAAACTAGCAGGGACATGTTTCGCAGGCGTCGGAAAGCACCCCGAAAAATTTGCGTATGAATTTGCGCGCAACGTTCGTGCGAGGGCCTGGCCGAAGACTTGCTGTAGACGCGACGCGCGTGGGCCTGGTGTGAGAGGGACAGGAGCCGGAGGAGGCGGGGAGGGCGAGATTGCCTGTCGTAGTTGATTGGCATTGGTAGATTGAGTATCTTCTGCCATTTTTGCTTCAAGGCAATTTCTTCTTGTTGTAATCTTGCAGACAGGTTGGCCCGGCTAGCGATGTTGAATGAGGGGTGTGGGACATTGAATCGACGAGGAAGGGGTACTTGATAAACACGTGACATTTATGTACATATCCATGCATCGTCCCGCCCAGCCCGATATGGATTTCCCTGTTCGCAGACAGGACCAGGCATTGAATTATGGTATTAAATAAAAAAAAAAGGAAATATCAAACTACAGAAACTATCCTGGGAACCATTACTATTTCAAAACATATTAACCCGTCAATGCCCGAGTGCTGTCGTTCCCATGAGAATGGAGGCTTCCGACAGCCCCATGCCCAGTGCTGATGTGTTGGGATGGACCTCTCTTTACTGAATGTCGCAATTTGATTTTCGCAAAAGCCTCTTTGAATGCAGGCCAGGAGATCGATATGTAGATGATACTATTCCAAAACCCTTGCAGCGGAAGGACGAAACTGGACGTATAATTCAAGCCGAAGTTGAAGTTGTCCGGACAGATCAACGCGTACAATCTGTTGATCGTGGAGGGTACCTATTCCAAATATCAATATTAGTCAGGACTGTTACTCACACCATCGTTGATGATGCTGAACTGACCCATGTGACAAGCAGTGCGATGAAGAAAAGCATCGCATATTTGGTATAAGCCCAAGCGGCCGAGTTCACGTCTCTCGCCGTCGCGCGACGCTGAGCGTATGGGTCATGCTGGCTGCTTCTCAAAGTCCGCATTGGCACATTCTCGTCGTTGCCAGAGGCACTGCCACCTTCAATGGTTACAGAGTACGGCGAGTACGGGTTGAGGTATCGATGCGGTATATGGCTGGCACTCGTGATTGTCAATCGGTTGGATTCACTTCCAGAATGTGTGATCTCGCTGGTGACATGTATCTCTGTCTTTTTGGAAAAAGCGGGCTCCATAGGACTGTCAATTTCGCCGCAAGAATCCGAACACCCGGCCTCCTCGAGTTGCCGTCGTTTTTCGAAAATCACTTTGCCAGCACGCAGATAAATGGCAAATGTCAAAGAAATGACGAACCAGACTGGACCATAGAAGACCGCAATGCGAAGAAAATCCCAGGGGAGCGAGACCCAGCACCAGAGCTGTTAAGCGACAACGAGTTAGAGACTCTGTACAGCACTGATTCCCCTACGACAACGTTGCACTTACTATGGCTGAGCCGTAGACCTTTCCTCGAGCCTCGGTTTCTATGAAGAAATAAACGAATGCCGGGAGGAAGGGGAGGCCATAGCAGAATAGCACGTATTTCCACTCCAGTTGTCGCAGCTGTTCTGAGTTATATTTGTAAAAGAAGGTCAAGTAGACATTGCATGCCATGGCAAGAGTCCACAACGCATCAGCGGGCATGAACCTGCGTCATGCGTACATCAACCATCAGTATATGAGCTATGAGCACCAGACACCGGGGATCTGGCCGAGCTACTGACCATTGAATCAGAAATGCCTGGAACTGGCAAAGGCAGCCGCGTGTCCCGTAGGCGATGCCCGACTGAGAGATCATCGTGGCTACATTTGCCATGATATTTCCCCATGACGCATAAAATACGAGACGATTGATCGGCTTGCGAAAGGAGCTCGATGCGAGGAAAGAGATGATTATGATACTTGTTCCAGCGAGAGAGATCGCAGAGCATATGCGTTCTGTCGTTGATATGGCGAACAATTCTCGCTGAGAGAGCGACATGACGCCAAGAACATGCTGATCAGACCGGCCACTATCCAAAGATCTTCGTCACAGACTTATGCAAGGAATGGAAAATAACCAAAAGGAATGAAATAAAGGAAGAAAAGATGGAAGGGTATACAGTAATAGGTACGATCCAAGGTCTCACCAGAGTCTGTGGCACACTTGGGCGCTGGAGGCGAATCGACTCATTGGGAAACCTAGTCCATAAATGTGTGTGATATCAAGACTCTATTTTAGAGTTTATCGAATCAATATTAGACATGTCCCTTCAGGATTCAGGATTCGGCCCATGTGGATAACATAGCCACTGCTCGGCAGGGGTTTTAGTCTGCTCACATGCACTTGTCGAAGGAAGACAAACCATGTTCGATACCTAATAATGAATTTCGAGGGCTACCAATAAGAGCAGAAGGACTGCGTCGTCAACGGAGCCGGAGCAAAGCATGAAACGAGTCGGTCTTCTAGATTTTCTTGAGTCGACCAATCCCAAGTCAGAGATTCGGTTGCTAAGCTTATGCTGCTTTTCTCATTCTTCTTCCATGTGGTCCGGTGGAGCAGGGGAAATTTGCGGGGATGTTGATCCCCGAGTCTGTTCTCTGTACCCCTCTCGTATTAGATCTAGTAGTGTTATTCTAATGGACAGGAAATACGAACTGGATGATTCATTATTCAAACTCTGGCCAACTAAAAAGTCGTTCATAGAATCAACACAAGGAATTGATCCTCCATCATCAGGAGTAAGTAACTATGAATAGAGGCTGCTTCCATGGGAATAAAACAGGGGACGCAGGGCGAAAGACACAGGAAAAAAGAAATCCACCCCTGTCTTATGCATGTCAAGCCTCACAAGCTTCTTTCAGCGAAGATGGAGGAAGAAGGCTGTGCACATCCATTCATCATCTTAGAATAAAGGTGAGAATTGACGATCAGCACCTAATATGTACTCTATAGTATCTATCTCTGGAGTGGATCAGTCAATCTTTTATGTTAAGGTGAATCGAGCCGACGCCACACCTTTCTATTGTACCTAATTGTGGCCCACCCAGCTGAACTTGTGGACAACGATGTCTGACTGATCGAGTTTTCTATTTGACTGTGGATAGAATAACCGGACTCCCTTAATCATGCAAGGAGTTGGCGAAACTTCGAAGCTATCAAAAACTACCTAACTGTCCGGTCATAGCGCTCTTTCTTCACCTTGCACCTTGCGGCGTCTACGTATCAGATTACAACTCGGAGCAAAAATAAGCGTATCTTTACTTGCGCTTCAAAGATACCACTTAGTACAGTACTTGAAAAATGGTAAAGCTTTAAATAAAACACAAAACGCTATTCACAATGCCCTACAGGTCGGCTGCCTTTGTCTCTTGCAAAAGCCAAACGTGCATATCAAAACGTCAAAAGCTGCCAATATCAGCACTGATGTCCTTCTTCGGGTATAACGCCACGCTCCCGCATTTTAAACCTATAACCATCATCTCATTGTGCCCCATTTGGAGATATGAATTCAGCAGGAGCAAAATGTGGTAAGAGGAGACGATTTGATCGGGGGGTTCCCTGACAAATTTAGTATGCCTGCTGTGGTGGGACCATCCCTCCGTAACCTCCAGCCATTTGTTGCTGTTGCTGTTGTTGCTGCTGCTGCTGCTGCAACTGAGCCTGTAATTGAGGTAGGTCATGGAACCAAGGATGCTGCAGCGCGTCCGCTGCACTAATGCGCATCTCCGGCCGTAATTGAAGCATCCGATTCAGCAGATCGAGCCCGAGGGGGTCAATCTGAGGCAGAATAAGCCCCAGATCTTGTGTCGCATATACGTGGAAATTCGGTTTGTACTCCGGTAGCTGAGAGATACCGGGCCACGAACGCTCCGAAGGTGTGCCCATCAGACGGAAGATCTTCTGCAGTTGGTCCTCGTTGGTCGTCCCGGGGAACAGAGGACGGCCGGTGTACAATTCTGCCATGATACATCCGGCGGACCAGATATCAATGCTTGTGTTATACGTTCTGCTGCCCAGCAGCACGTCCGGAGCACGATACCACAGCGTCACCACTTCGTTGGAGAAGGTGTTAACAGGAATGCCGAAAGCACGGGCCAGGCCGAAGTCGCCCAGCTTGAGCTGACCCTTCTTATTAATGAGGAGATTCTGAGGCTTGAGGTCTCGATGGAGAACCCGGTTCTCATGACAAAAGGCGATGCCCTTGAGGAGCTGGTGCATGAATGACTTGATCGTGGCGTGGTCCAACTGACCTCGGTCGCCTCGCGTATCCATGTACTTCTTCAGGTCCTTATCCATATACTCGAACACAAGCATGAGCTTGTTCTCCGTATGAATCACATCATAAAGTGAAACAATACTCTCATGCTTCAGTTCCTTCATCAACGAGATCTCTCGAATGGCTGTCGATGGTGTTCCTTCCTCCGAATCAAGGTGAATCTCCTTCAAGGCCACCAGCTCGCCGGTCTGGCGGTTGCGTCCTTTAAAAACCTGTAAAGATAGAGATCAATATCGCTGGGAGAATTGAATGAGATCCGCAGGCGGGGAAGCGGAAGGAGGATCGAACGTACGGTAGCATATGTACCTTCACCCAGCTAGAGACGAAGCACAATTAGTACTGGCCTCCCTTTCCCAATGATTAATGCGGTCATAGAAACCTCACACACCTTTTCCAGCTGTTGGAAAGAGCTGGGCTGCTGCGCCTTATCCATCGTCTGAGAAGAAATGGTACCTCTGTTTGTGACGGACGTCTGTTGGGTCGAGGCTTTTGGGCGTTGGTTACTGAAAAGAAAGGATTTTGGAGACACAAGGGTAGATACGATTTCAGAAAAAGAAGAAGGGTTGTTGTACTCTGAACGAGAATCCCTTGCGGTTCTGGATGGGGTCCGATAGTCCATGCTCGGAGGTGATCTGATCGCAATTCGTTTGAACCAGCCCCGCGCGGCCTATCTTGGGATGGCAAATCGCGGGCGGTTGCTTATCCACCTGGGCGGCACTATCAATAACGTCTCCAGCACTTGTACCTGACCAATCTTCCTTCTATGTAATCGAATCTGAGAGATTTTCACTATTTAAGTACATATTTTATTTGTGGCATTCGAAGGTGTTCTAGGAAGGCCCAGGTTCCGTTGTGCTTCTTAACAAGGAACTGTTTCTTGGGTACATAGATGGCCCTAAGTGTTAATTATCTGTAATTCTATGCAAATATGAACTTGTTCTGAATATATCCAGGGTACATGGCATACAGTTCCCGGCTCTATACGTTCATCCGTAATTGAAATTGGGAAGCAGCGACACCACAGGAGGAAGAATCGCCTCGGACGGAAAGCTGCAACGGACATGCGAGGATGAGACATCGCTACTCGTCCCAAATAGGACCGATTCATTCCTGACGCCTCCCAGATTGATTATGGCTATAGCCATCCCTCTCCTGTGGGCTTTCTCAACTAATCGCCATGCTGAATACGTAGCAAGACTGCTTCCTAGAATCAGTAGTCTCCCTGCATCATCGATGGCCTCTTCAGCAGCGGATTTCACTCCAGGGTCAATATTTTCACCAAACATGACGACCGCAGGTTTCAGAATGCCAGCTGTAGATGAAGGGAGCCATGCCCCATCCTTTTCCACTTCTACCCTGGCCTGTGTGCCGTCCTTCAGTCTTGGAGGGTTCTCCAAGCAAGTAGGACAAGATGGGTACCTAAATGTGGAGTATGAAGCCTCAGCCAGGTCCACGTCACCATCTGGATTTAGCTTAAACCCCTTCCGTCTCTGTTCTTCCGGATTGTTGGTGTCGAACGCTCCTGCGTCGACCATCCGGGCAAGAAACTCCGCCCAGGCGGGGTTGAGCCTCTCGAGTGACTTCTGAAACTCAGCGCGTGAGAATTGGTTTCGACAGCTAGTGCAGACGACAGACCTCAGGTGGCCATGAAGCTCGACGGTCGGTAGCTCGGGATGTGCAAATGAGTGGAATGAGTCAACATTCTGCGTCACAACGGAACTGATGAAGCCCTTGGCGCCGAGGTCCCGGATGGCCCGGTGCGTCGAGTTGGGCTGAGCTTTCAACAATCCAGGCCACCCAACAAAGCTTCGAGCCCAGTATCTTTTGCGAGACTCGTGCCGTGAAACAAATTCGTGAAAATATATAGGTCTGTAGGATTTGTTCGTGACGTAGGTGCCGTTTTCTCCTCGATAGTCGGATAGTCCCGACGCTACCGAAATACCAGCACCAGTCAAAAGAACGGCCTGCGAATGTCGGCCAACATCCACTCCGCGAAGGTACGGGGATGGAGGAGCTGTGAAAAATGATAAGACGGCATTGATCGCTCCTGAAAGTGTGCTGGCAGATGGCGGTACAATGATTGGTGGAGGCAGCGGACCAGTCAAAGGTATACGGATCGAGGGTTTCGTCATTGAAGACGCATTGTTGGTCGAGGGAAGCTACGCAGATCGAAGCGATTGTAAGTGATTGACCTGTTGTGCTATCCGAATGGTTCAGTGAAATACGCAGAGATTCACTTCCATGGGGACTGGATAGCTTTATTGTGGTTGAGCCGTGGATATGATGTAACGAGTTAATCGCTGCATAATGACTAATCTTGATGTCACATGATGTGATGGTGTCCAGTGTGCGAGCTGGTATTAAACTTCTGCTTGCAAATTGACAGAAAGAATAGAGAGCGTAAGGTTTCTAGACGCAGGTGAAGACGAATTTATAAATTTATTATTGGAAAGCAAGCCTTCTACACGAGTGAAGTCCGACATCTGGTCTAAAGAACATAGTATGGGTCGGAATTTCCCCGGATATTAGCACGTGACTGATCCAGAGCAGAGTCTTCGAACGTCACTGACGCCTTCATTCCCAAATATTATTCGAATTCGGCGTGCTGAAAGCATTTCCTTGTCTTTAATAAGCAGTTCTTGAGTCGTCTGACTGAACTGGATTCTGGTCCAGTTCGTCGGCTTCGTCCTCTTTGGACATGTTTCCCTCCCAGGCTGGCAATCTAGATCTAGATGCTCTAAGTGGTATTTGCGGGTATGATTCTAAGCTCTTCGCTTCCCATTGTAACAAGACGGGAGGACTGGTGCGGGAGGTATCCTTACAGTGATTACTGACTGGCGCATATAGGTCTATTTCCATTGCCTGCTGGGTTGTGGTTTTCTCACCGCAGATCATTGAGAATTTCCGTCGTGGCTCTGCTGATGGTCTTTCTCTACTCTTTCTCGTGGTCTGGCTAGCAGGGGATGTTTTCAACATTCTTGGTGCCGTCCTTCAGGGCGTGCTACCTACAATGACCATCCTCGCCGTCTACTACACCCTCGCAGACATTGTTCTTTTGGGCCAATGCTTCTACTACCGGGGATTCACGCTGCGGGATGAACTGTCTAGTCCCGCTTCTCCCGCAGAGATCATCACTGAAGATGAGCCTTCGCCGAGTAGAAAGGCAACCGAGCGTACCTCTCTACTTCCTCCAAAGTCTAACGGCCACTCGCATCACGTCCAAGCCCAGGAGCCTCGCTATCAGTCTGGTCAGGCGGGCTCAGAAGCAACAACTTCACAAATGCCGCCATTACCGTCGCATTCGGGCCATCGGCGACACTCTGCAACATCCTTTCGAGAGATTATCCATCCGAACATCGACGCGACACATCTGTCACCTGTAACACCCTTCATCGAACCGCCTTCCAAGAAATCTTTGTCTGCTCGACGCATTTCCACTCTTCAGACTGTCCTTTTTAACGTCACTGCCGTTTCACTTGTCTGCGCTGCTGGAGTGCTGGGCTGGTATGTCAGCCCTAGCTCTTCCAAGAACGAAGAATCAGGATCGCCTGGAGATGACGGCGATTCATCCTCCCTTACTTTCGACACCCTAGGTCAGGTGTTTGGCTATCTCTGCGCCGCCCTGTACCTTGGCTCACGCCTGCCCCAGATTCTTCTCAACTACCGGCGCAAATCTACGGAAGGGGTTTCACTGCTATTTTTCCTCTTCGCATGTATCGGCAACCTGACCTACGTACTGTCTATCCTGGCTTATTCCCCGGTCTGCAAGCGACACTCTCGCCACTCTCACCACTCTCACCACTGTCGCCCCGGAGAAGCCGCTGCGCTCTACGGCCGATATGTGCTTGTTACTCTGTCGTGGCTGATAGGGAGCTTTGGAACTCTCTTGCTTGACATGTGTATTTTCATTCAATTTTTCTTATACAAAGAAAACGGAAACGGGATAGATGAGATCAGTGCCCGTGACAGATAGGGGGGTGACTGATACCGATATAAATCGGAGACGGATCGGAAAAAGGCGCTTAGTGTGGAATTGTTCCTATGGGTTTCCGCTGCTTGGTTCACTGATTATGATACTCTGCTCGCAAAATGTATATAGCTCTGAGAAAGAAGAGAAGGTTGTCATAATATTCGTTAAAAAGGTATCTCTTGGTCATATTATAGCCATACGGTGAATTTGCATAGAAAGGACGACACCCGAAGAAGAACACCCGCTAGATGCAATGCGTACCCAGTCGTAATGCTGTCAACGCTTTTCCCTCCCAGACAGTCTACTGGAAACTGGATTAGGTGAATTAGTCCTAGCTGTGAGCATGATCGACTTAGTCACTTGGTGGCCGTGCTTCCACTTTGCCTTGGCCCACTTCTTTCCAGTTGGTGCTCAGAGACGTGCCTTGGCTCTCCACGTAACTCTTCACCATGGCCCGACGGGTGTCCGGGTCCGCGTTGGCGTACAGTTTCTTAAAGAAAGCGTCCACTGGATCGCCAGTGCCGTAGTCAGAGTCGATGGAATCGGCGCCGTCGGATTCATCGCCACTGTCCTCACCAACTTTTGCATCTTTTTCAGCGTTCCGATCCTTATCCTTGCCTTTCGACTTCTTCGCTGTCAGGGTTGATGCGACTTTATCCCAATCTTTAGCGCCGTGGCGAGATGAGGTTGGGTAGGAAGGTCCGCTTTCCGCTGCGGGGGCTACTCCTACAACGGCCTGTCGATCAGAAAGTTTGGCGCTTGACGATGACGCTTCCAATGCGCCCCATTTCTGGCCCGCTGTCTTTTTGCGTAGGAGAAGTTCGATCTTTGTTGACATCACAGAAACCTTTGATGCAGATGGATCAATCGGTGCGAACAGAGGATCCAGAGTAAAAGCGTAGTCCGCGCCGGACGGGAGCGGGAATTGAATGGCAGCCTGCAACGTTTCAACGGTCAGCTCCGGATCAATAGCATGAGATCTGGGTAAAAAAGAAAAGGGGGTCACTTTTATTCCACATACAGATTCATCCTTAAGTTCGGTGTCAACGCTGTCCTCGGGCACTCCCTTAATATAAAGTGTCACGACAACCGAGTCATGAGACTGATACCACTCATGCCGAACCTTCTCCGCTGAGGGACCAATGGATGGTGAAGCGGTGGGCATGGCGGCTGGAGCCTTGCTTATTGTGGCCGGGCTCTCGGTTGTGGGAGAGCTTGATTTTGTAGAATCTGTAGCCTTGACGTCCACCGACGTAGTCTGTACCTGAGTACTTCCCTCCTCGACTTTACCAGCCTTGAAAGCATCGAGTTGCTTCTTGAGGTCCTTTTCAGATGGAATGGACACACCCTTGGGAAACTCTTCGATGGTGACCCTTGCTTTCTCATCGCCCTCGGCCAGCTTGCTCAGCTTTCCCTTAACTTTCAACGTCCAGATGGGAAGCTCCTGCTCATAGCCTTTCTTGGTGGAGGAACGAGCAGCACCTCCACCAGCCATTGCATCCTTCACTTTCTCTGACCTATCTTGACCTTCTGTAGTGGTGCCAATCTTGTCCTGAATGGTGCTGAACACGAAAGCTGCGTCGCCGTATCGCTCAAGCTGATACAGGACGATGCCGCGTCTCATTTGTGCAGACAATATAAGCTCGCGTTTCGCTCGTTCTCGAGCAAGGGTAAGCGCAATTTCAGCATCTTGAAGCGCAGCGTGGAAGTTGGGACCTCCGTCTGCGGGCTTGAGGCGTGAAAAGGCAGTCGACCTCTTGATATAGTAGACTGGGGCGCGGGGAAGCTCCGTCAGGGCTTGGGTGAAGTACCGGATGGCAGTGTTACAGTCAGAGTTGGCTAGGGCCTTGTCGCCCTCTGCCGCCGCGTTCATTCTGCTGTTCGGCTAGAGCTATTATTCTCGCTTTGAAGATCTCCGCACTTAGCTTGATTGAGAAGACGGCTATCTTGCCAAAAGTTATTTCTGAGTAGACACTTGAGGTCGCCTCGGTTGAAAACTGACTCTATGGAAATATTCTCGTATAAGGAAACTCGCTCTTGAGCTCGCTCTTAAAGAAAATGAAAAGAGTATAGCTTATCTATAGCTCTTTCTTGGTAGCTTGTTGATTCTATGACATTCTTTTGGAGACGGAGACTTCGGGGAGCACACGTGATGGCGTTAGCCCGATCAGGCAACTCATCCATACAAATCCGCTTGGTAGAAGGTATTATTATATTATTAAGATTAGCATTCCACTTTAATACAAACAGCAATCATTGCTGATTCATTAACAGTAAGTCGCATATGGTACAAGCTGGAGACTCTGCGTACTATCCAGGCGTATGAAGGAATTGGCTCAAATTTCGGCTCACATCAGTTCTTCGTTGCCGAACTTGCGGCTGTAAAGACCCAGAGCTCGAATAGGCCAGTAGAACTTGTAGTTGGGATACGAAATCATGCTAGGACCGGGTCAGCTATTGCAGGGAAAATGAGTCTGCAAACACAAATACTTACCAAGATTGGTTGAAAACGCCCTCAATGGATTCTTGCAACCACTCCCCGTTTGGTTGCTGCCGTGACATAAGCAGCTTCATGGCTTTCTGGAGTGGCTCCTTGTGCGGATATCCCGCCTCCATTAGCGCAAGACAAGCCCAAGCAGTTTGCGTTACTTGAGACTTTTCATGTTGAACGTACACATGTTTCTCACTGCTGAGATAAGACTCACCCCATCCTCCGTCCTCCTTTTGCTTGGAGAGGAGGAACTCGCAGCCACGGCGCGCATACTCGCTGGTCTCGTAGGTTTCCCCGATACTGGCCAGGCTCTCTAAGGCAAACATGGCGGCATAGGTGAAGCAGATTCCCCAAGATCCGTACCAGCTTCCATCCCGTCTCTGCACGCGTTTGATATATTTCACAGCCTTGTCTTTCGCGGCCTTGATCTCGTCGGCCCGGTAGTCAGGGTAAAATCTGCTGAAAAGCGAAAGCGCGGTGACAGAAGCGGTGGTACATTCGGGATAGTCATAACCGATCATGATTCCGCCAAACACTTCCGCAGCATTGAGCCACTCCAGCTTCTCGGAGCCACGGGTGGTTTCGTACTCAGTGAAGCCACCCGAAGGATTTTGCATCAGCAGTAAGCAGTCGACACTGTCTTTCAGTCGCTCCACGGAGATCAGCTTTGGATAGTTGTGCATCTCCTGTAGTTGGATTGCCGACCGCAAGCCCTCCGCTGTGCAATCACTAACTGTATAGCCTTGTGTCTTGTTACTGAACGGCCACGCGCCCTTCCGGTGTTGACGGTAACACTTTTCTTGATCTGGGACGTTCTCCCGAAGCTGATGATCTTCAAGGAACTCCAAGGCTTTGGTGAGCATTGGTCGCCACTTGGGGTCATCTGCGAAACCGGCGACGACAATAGCTTGCGTGATGAAAGCGGTATCCCACACTTGGACTCCATTGGTTCCATTCATCAACATGCCTTCGTTCTTCATCCACATGTAATCGTTCAGACGCTCACGATGGCGACGAACTGAATAGCTGTCTGGCCCATCATGGACATAGCAAGCTACCATGTTCATCGGGTTGCTCACAGGGCCTAAGCCTGCATAGTCCGTATTCTCGTCTTCCATTCTAATCAACTCCCAGGTCCAATCCTCTGCGCGTTTCACCAATGCAGAAATTCGGAGGTAGGGGTTCCACACCGAGACGATAAGTTGGTTGAGCAGGTTTAAAAGCCAAGTCTTGGGATAGTAATTATCGGCTTCATGGATTGAGTTCCGGTGGCTTGCAAAGTTGATAGTGTCGTAAGGCTGGGTGTACAGCTCCTGGCGCAACTGTTTCGTGAGCGGGTCCAGAGGGTGGGTGAATTTCTTGGACCATAGGTACGACATGGGCAAGAACACTTGACGTATATGGATCCACCACCGCCAAGGTGCAAAGGGAACCCAGTCCGGAAGCAGCCTACGCCATTGTTAGTCTCTTGTGGGTGTTTTACATGGAAATACGCAGGTGGAATGCAACGTACCAAATTTCAGGCGGGACAGGATTGACGCAGTCCCATTCCATGACACCGAGGACACTGAGCCAGAATTTCGCCCAGTGAGGTCCATATACGGCGCCGCCAAACTTATGTAAGAGCCCACGGGCTTTGATCATACGAGGATCGTCTTCGCTGACACCAATCAAGCGCAGTGCCACGTAGTTCATGCAAGTACCAAAGACAGAGCTATGCGCCTCAATGTGCAAGCCCCAGCCGCCGTCTTCCGGGTGCTGACGAGCAAAGAGATACCTTTTAATCTCAGTCGCATACTCCGGCGGGATCGGAGTGTTGGTCACGTAGTACGTGATGATGAGGCCCGGCAGCAAGAACATCGGACCTCCGTACTCACAGGCCCAATTGCCTGGAGGAAGTTGCAATTTGGAGAAGAATTCCAAGCCATTCTCAGCACATTGCAGTGGAGTTTTTGCTTTCGGCAGCTCTGGAAGTCCCTGAGGTAGAATAGTCAGTTCTGCGTATGGCAAACATGCGGTTCGTGTCGGCAGGGGGGAGAGGGTTACCATAGGGAGTCCCAGAAAATGCTTGTCAGCGACTGATTGAGGCCATTTCTCGTTCTCTTCATCAGACTCCAGGTAATGCCAGGTTTGGCGTCCCCGATCATCTAGCAACCTCCATCTTGAGTAGTCTGTTTTGAGGTCTCCCTTCTCATCAGAACTCAAGTGACCCTGAGCTGCAGTTCTCCATGGAGCAATGGCGCCTCCCGTCATTGTCAGCCTTTTGAGAACTGCAAATTCCAAAATTCTACCGTAAATGCTGAGGCCTATTTATTACTTTTTATTTGAATGTGCAAAACGATGAACAGGGGAAATAGTAAATAAAAAAAAAATATAAAAAAGGGCACCAATGGTTAAGAGCAGATCACATGTAGATCCGGGATGTTGATATGCATATGCTTAGTCATCAAGGGTAAGTTACAACTTAGATAACTAGCATGCGCATCAGGCAACACAGTTGAATCGTTGCTCCCATCTGTATCTTAAGGATGGAAATTATGGATGGAACAGAAATTAGCGCTTTGGTAGCCAGACTAAAGTGTGCAGAAGTCGTTTCGTTGACCGCGCTACTGAGTATATTCTTATTCTCGCCCAAATTAGAATCTAAATAGTGGCTGGAGACAAGAAATATAGTTCTTCGAGCCTGAAAGAATCGGAATTTATTGAAGCAGTCCAGAAAGACTAGATAAGATAAAATAGGACTTATCATGGCATCAGCGAGGATTACTGGGTTCAGTAAATGACGTGAGGCCCCCGAGTCCCTTCAGTGCTGTCTCGACTATGTAGTCACTTGACTCTTGCCCGTGAACTCTTTTCCTCAATCTATCGAGACACGTAGTATACGACCATGAGCTGACTGCTACCAATGGAGAATACACTGGACAATGCTGAATCGAGCTCAGTTAGACTGTTCACGAATCAGAAGCAGTCCCAGAAAGAGCGAGTTCAGACGTTTATTGACAATGCACTCATAGAGATTCTCGACGAGCTACGGACGCCAGACGGTCGACCAACCTTGACATTAAAAGGAAGATCCAGAGGAGTTTCCTTTTCCATCAATCCCGATAACCTCGCTCTGGAAACCGAGGAGAAAGAAATACGATCATCCTACAGCTGGCCGGGTAGGAATGCTTATGAGGCTTGGAAATTTAGTACGGAACATCATTTTCTTTAAAGATCTGGATCAAAACTGAATTTGTTAGCTGCTATCATCCAAGGAATAGCAGTTATCGCGGAGGCAATCCAAGCTGGTCTGGTAGTTTCCAAAAGGTATCAATTATCTGAAATTAAGGCAAGCCTCGAGCGCTGGCTGATTTGAGAAACAGAGACATATATTACAGCGATCCAGCTTGTTTCGGTTCTCAGCAAATTGTTGACACGATAATTGATGATATTGCTCATACGGTTGGGGTTGATAGACGGGCGTTGAACGTGGTAATACAGTCAGGTCGACTATTTGACTCGAATGTGCAGCTGAGATGGCACAGGAAGCGGTAGCCAAAGGGCTTGTTGCGGGATATTATCGTCTAATGACCAAAGCTGGTGAAGTAGTGGACGCTCGCTTATCAACCAAGGTAGTTCAAAATATTCACCCTTCTCCCGGGAATGATCATGACGATGAGATGAGCTAGGATGTCCTGATACCGAAAACGGAAGACATTGAAGCAATCGACACCTCCGAGGTGAAATGGGTCTTGATCCTGGAAAAAGAAGTAAGAGAGGATATATCAGCACGTATGTCACGCTGCCCACAGCGTGGTAACAGACCATTCCCAGGCAGTCTATCGTCGACTCTCGAGAAGCAGCTACCACACTAGAGCGGCGGCAGGCAAAGGTGTATTGGTAACAGTAAGTTTCCCACGGCTAGAACCACGGTGTAGAAACCGACGGTGAAACACAGGGAAAAGGATATCCGGACCTGAGCACGCGATCCTTTGTTCGAAGACTGCTTGATGAGACTAGACATCACCCCGAGGAGAAAGTCCCGCGCTTTTACGCTCTTGTCGACAGTGATCCCGATGGCATGGCAATCATGTCAACTTATAAATATGGCTCGATGGCGCATGCGCGCGACAACGAGAAGCTCAATGTTTCCAAGCTTCGCTGGCTGGGACTCCGAACATCAGATGTCATTGGAGGTGCAGACTCCTTCGGGGACGAGGCTTTCATTCGCCTGAGCCCGAGGGACAGAAAGAAGGCTATTGCAATGCTATCGAACAATCCCGTGTGGGCAGAAGATGGGCCAGAGCAGGAATGGCGCGCAGAACTGCAGCAGATGATCATGTTGAACTTGAAGGCGGAGATTGAGATTCTTTACGATCGGCAGGAAGGACTTGAAGGGTGGATTGATAAGAAGATGACTACTCCAAGCTGATACAACGGGACAAAGGATTGTCGCTTCGAAGCCGAATTTATAAAGTTTTCGATTGACAATTGATGGAATGTAGAGGAAGCAAGAGGTCTATTCCGCGTCAACCTGTTACACAATAAGAACAAATATTAAGCCGAAAGCGACATGCTGAGTGATATAAATGATTGAAAAGAACATAAAAAGATATCGGGAACACACCAGAAACGCCATTTATCCGACCCAATCTCATAACCACCCAAGCTTCGATGCTAGGAGTGCCACATGTAGTGACACAAACCTCGTACCGGAGCATGGCTCACGACTTTATGTACAGCCCCAGGAATAAATACCTTATATCTCCATACAGCCCGTCCGCACGTTGTTCCCTACAGACCCAAGCCTTTCCTGACCTCATCACGAACCTTCCGTTCATACTCGCTTCTGCGTTCTCTCCACATTTTTGCCGCCTCGATGTTGGCAGGACTTTCGTCATTGGGTTCTGCCAGCATACTCATGACGGAGATTAGGATTTTTTCCACACTCTGGATGGGCGACCACCGCTCGGATGCATGCTCGTAATGGTTTGGATCATCGCCGGGAGGATGAAGAATGGATATGCAGACGGTTCCGTTGGGATAGACTGTTGGGAGGTCATGTCAGTCACCGCATGGACTCGATGTTGAGTGAAGGAATACAAGGAAAGTTATTTCTCACCATTCGGATGCCACACCCCACCACCGACAAATTTCATTGTTGGCGGGCTCAGCGGGTAATCTTTGGGAAACTTGAGCTCTGCTGCAAACACGCCTCCTTCGTACGGTGTACCCTCAGGACCTTGAATCAAGGCCTCCCAGTGAAACATATCATCCTCGCTGACCGGACCGGCAGTGATGCCCTCGGGTGGGTTTGTTGATAAGTTCTTATACTCGTGAAAGAGACGTTTCTGTGCGACGGACGACATTGTGTAACCGAAGATCCAAAATCGAACGAAAGGGGTGCGAGCAGACTTTTGAGCGGTAGCGACAAGAGAAGGAAAAGCGTTGAGTTTGTAGCCGAAGCCGTGGAAGTGGGCTGCGGAGAAGTGGTGATCGGTGTGGGGTCAAGGATCCCGATTCTCCAAATGTGGACGCTTTCTGAGTAACTTCTAGTTATAGTTAAGCCTGCAAAGAGTAGAGCGGCAGGTCTAGAGATGGAGGATCAGTGGAAGGATTGGAGAATGCTGCCGGAGGATATTAGTCCAAGTACTCCATAGCGGACCACAGAAATGGAAACGGGGTTTACTAGTTGCCACCCGACAAGAATCTACTATGGCTTTCCCCGAGGATCGGCCCGCAAGGACTGAAGACCGATCAGAAGTTTAATATGAGTCGCTGATTGCTGCACCTAATGAAAGGACAAGGTAAAGAAGGGCTTGACAGTCTCACATTGAAATAATATATTCTTATAATACATTATTAATCTACAAGGGGCGATCTATAATCTAAATGGAGAATGATCTCGAGAGTTCCCATTGTTAACGAGAACCAAGAGAAATGAGCAGATACAACATATGCCAGGGGTATAATCTTATCACCATCATCAAAACCAGTCATTGTCATCATTCCCTTCCTCGCCCTCATCATCTGGCTCCTCAATGTTCCAGGGATCTTCAGGCCCGCGAGAAAAAGGATCCTCCTGGTCCTCGGCCCATACATCCCCATAAGGGCCTGCTTGACCGGGGACTGACGATTGCTGGCCTGCCGAGTATGGCTGCTGCTCGGGTGAGGGAGGATGCTGAGGATTGCTGTCTCCAGCCATGCCTCTTGACAACGCATCGTAACCAGCCATCGCACCCGCACCAGCAGCTCCTGCAGCAGCACCTTCGGCAATTCCTCCAGCGGCGCCCGCCCTGCCAATGGTGCCCGCGGCCGCCTCACCTACAGCTCCAGCTTCGCCGGCAGCGGCACCACCGGCAGCGACCTCTCCGCCAATGCCAGGGAACCAGATGGGCATGAAGCCAAAACCGCCAGCACCACTGTGACGACTAAAGTAATCGAAGTCAATGCTGACCGCAGTGGCCAGCATTACTGCCCGTTGATCCAGCGTCATTCCAGTGGGCGCGTTTGCTTGTGTGGTCGAATCCTCGGGTCCAAGAGCCGCAGAATCCATGCGAAGAGCATAAACACCTGTGTCTGTGAACAATTCCCGCGCGAAGCCAACGAAATTTCGATTGACTGAGCCAATGAGTCGGCTGTCTGCCGAGCGTAGAGAGAAGTCCCATGACAAGAAGGGCTCATCGACATAGGCGAACTGATGGTATTCCCCAACACCTTGGCCGCTGTCACTGGTCTGCGTCAATTGCATCTGCTGCGAACTCGATAACCCAGTATGTGAAAGAGGTAATCTCTGAGTTCCCATCTCTGTGGCGTCAACAGGGGAGTGATGATAGGTGAAAAGGTTATATTTCCGCCGCAACGGCGCCCACTGCTGCTGCGCTTCTCCAATGACACGCATATCCTCTAATCCCAAAGATGAAACGCGTGCATTTGAGCCCCCTGTAGCTTGGACAAGTGACCCTGAAAATCCAGTCGGAACAGCAGTTGAAGACGAGAAGGTGCTTTTGACAACATCAAGAGGGTCGTATACCCGAATGCGAGAGTTAATCCAAGAGAAGGGGCGGTGAAACTGAAAGGCGTTAGAAGTATCATTCAATCCACAAAAGGATATAGACTTACTCGAAGCACCTCGTTTTCGTGCCGATCAAACACGTGCGTCACAAAACTTCGATGTGTTCGAAACCACTGTCGCGCCATCATATTTGCCATGCCTTTCTCTTGTTCGGCCATGTAGCCGATATGGTTTCCATTTGCATCCATGATGACGT